GAAATAGCCATCTCTCTGAGATGCTAAGATGCTAAGATTCCCGAAATGAGCCAAGGACGTAGCTTAGATCCTCAAAAGAGCCTTTCCAGTCCTGGTACACTATTGTTCAATGTATGTATGCCTACATCTATCTGCTAGTTTAAGAAAGGTTTTCATGTTTCTCAAGCCTTCCTGTATCTTTTGTCCAGGCAACTTGCATCACAAGATATCACACCCCAACCTATTGTCTTGTTGCTGCAGGAGACTAACTTATGGGGAGAAAGGAATACATGGAGGTGGGAGCATTCCTGTCTTGAGTGCATGCTGTAGCCAGGCTTTACATTAGGAAGAGAAAATTACAGTCTGATAAAGATATTGGTTGACAGATGTCCTCTTAACAGTTTTGTGTTTTCTACCTGGGCAAGTTATAGTGATTAGACACTGTTTATGAATGGATGAGAATGAACAGGAAAAGGGCTGCATATCTTTGAGACAAAATGTCCAGTTACAATAAAAAAACAATCAGGAAGGTTTTAATAGAGATATTTCAGTACTCCGTTTTTTAAAACCACTCTTCCAAAGCTGATCTTTGTCCTATAAAGAAATTGGGTGGTTTAAAGCCTTGCACCCCTTTGGAGGAAGGGCTGAGAACCAAGTTAAGGTGCTGTGCAGAAAAGGTGGTTCCCCCACTGTCAAAAGAAAAGGGTTAATTGGAATCTGAAAGCCCGGGTTTGTTCTTTGATTATGATTCCTGGCTTGTTGGCAGATGAAAAGCCAAAAATTCCAATTTGGTTGACGTGGGGAAGGGAGCACGATGTCTGAATCTTCCTAATCCTTTTATTGGTTTTCCCTAACAGAAGAGGACAAGCACCCAGAAGTGTGAGTTGGCCTATTTTTTTTTTCTTTCTAGAATTCTATTAAATTAAATGTTTATTATAATTTTATATCAGCACCAAAACAGCTTTGTTCATCATCTCTTCTCTCAACCAAATAAATAGCCAGTCTCATTTTGTAAACTGCTTTGTGAAGGCCTATGTACCTTGAAAAATGGGACAGATCTACTGAAATTTACCAACAAGGCTTTTTAAAAATATATATATATATATATATATTTATAAACCCCCTCTTTACTTGGCTGGTGAAGTGTGACAAGTAGATTGTGTGAATATGGCTTAGGTATCTGATGGAAGAGGACTGTCAGGGGTGTGGGAAAAAAACCTCACTAAATCTAAATGGGAATAGAATCGAGAAAGCTCATAAATAAGACAAAAGGAAATTACATTTACAAGACCTCAGTTCCCACTGTGACCCTTGCAGGCACCAATGTGCCTCCTGATACATAATTTGGGGTCAGTTAACTCCATGCCTTACCTAAGCTTACTGTTTTCTACAGAAAATTTTAATTTTTTGCTTATATTTTGTACACATTTCTTTAAAATAATACTGATAGGGTGCTGCAAGTCAGCTGTGGTTGCAAGTGTGTTCAGCGCCTTCACTGCTCAGGAAAGAGGTATGAACTGAGTTGGCAGAGATCACGTGTGAAGGCTCTGGTTGAAGTCCTCCCTGGGCCACAGAAGATCCCTAGGGGATTTTGGGCCAGTCTCTCCCTCTGAGGGCAAGAGCTGGGGGGGGTGGGGGTGTCCATTGGAGAAGGTGCTGGACTAGGAGTGGGGAGACCCAGGTTCTGGTCCTCCCTTGGGCATGGAAGCTCTCTGGATGATGTGGGGGGAATAGTCCCTCTCTCTCAGCCCCAGAGCTAGTGTGGGGTAGAAGTGAAGGTGCTGGACTAGGAATGGAGAGACCCAAGTCCTAGTCGTCCCTCAACCACAGAAGCTCCTGGGGGATTTTGGGCTGTCTCTCAACCCAAGAGGCAGAATCATTCAGTGGTGAAGGTGTTGAACTAGGAGCAAGAAGCCCACAACTTCTAGTCTTGTAATGAGCAGTAGGAATCACCCTGAGGAACAGGGGGAAGAGCTGCAATGGTGGAAATTTGAGTCTGGGGCAGTATGTAATTAGAGTAAGTGTCTCAGACATGACTCTCCCTAGTTCTCATTGGGTGAGGGGAGAGAGTGTATTCAGACTTGCAAGTTTCTGTTACTGTAACATTATGATAAAAGTAGTATTAGCCTTCATGACTCTGGTGTCCTAGTCTGGTCTACCTTGAAGGGCTGACAAGTCCCCGTTAAGCCAGCGAAGCTCCCTGGAGGTCTTTGGGTCAGTTCCTCTCTCATCCCAAAAGCCAGGGCAGTCTAGCGGGGAAGGTCTTGGGCTAGGAACAGGAAGACCCAGGTTCATGTCCCCCCTCAGTCTGGAGGCTCCCGGTGGGACTTTGGGCCAGTCCCTCCCTCTCAGCCCAGCCAACCTCAGTTCAGCTGCTGGGTTGGAAGCCAGTGGGAGGAGGATGTGCCCGGTAGGCCTGCTTGAACTTTTGACCAAGAGGCAGAATGTGGGTCTAAAATACAAATAAAGAAGCAAAGAAGCTAAACAGGGATGGGGAGAGAGATCACCATTTGACATTTGGTGAGTGGGTGCTTTGGGACTGCTTATGTCCACTATGATAGTCACATTGGGAGTGGACATATAACCTTCCCTCAAAATTCAGAACGTGGCCATGTCATCCCCCCATTATTTTTATTTTTATTGTTGTTGTTGTTATTGGTTGGTCGCACAGTCAGCCAGATGTTTAGACTGGATTTGGCATTTTTATCCACCT